GTGCTTATTTCATTTAACCCTAACAGTTGTACATGGGATGTACAATTTTTCCCCATTTTATAAGTGTGACCTAAGGCTCAGAGATCGAAAGTGTCCAGATTGAAATCTTAAAGTGTGGGTGGTGGAAGCAGGACTCAAATCCAAGTTCCCAAGGCACAGGACCATACACCACAGTGGGTGAATGGTCATCCCTCTTCTGTGCTGGAAGCAGGCACCTGGATGCTGAGGCATGACCACTAGGTGGCGACAGAGCCTCACAAAGAGCTCCTGGGACTCCAGCTAGGCAGCAGCCTGAGGCCTGAGCCTGCGCTTTAGCAACACTAGGCTCCCAGACCATCAGAGCAGGACCACACGCTGTCTCTTGGCCCACCTCTCTCCCTAACATGTTGGAGATGGGGTTCTGATAGGAGGCTGGTCTGGCTTCGAGTCCCAACTCTGCCATTTCCTGGCCTCTGGGCCAAGGCTTCATCTGAGCATCAAGGTTCTCACTCCTAAAACAGGAGTGATGACGCTCGCCTGGGGCCTGCAGTGAGGACTGGATAAGACAAAGAGTTAGCAGTGGATGGGTTTGTGGTGATTAAGACCAGAGGGAGCACGCACTGGTCACCAAAGAGGGATCTCAGGGGCTGTTTTAAAATGGCCACCCTTTAAACTTTGAATTCCCATGGAAACCCTGAATTGCGAGCTTCTTTTGAGACTCTGCCTCCCCACACAGCTGCATCTATTGGCACTGTACCCTCCAGGGTACCACGGTCTGCAACACTTCCTGCTGGGACCCACTTCCCTCAAGTCTGTCACCTTACTAGGTCCCTTGGACCTTGCATGCAGGTGAGTTTGCTCCTCAGACAAGTCTTAGAACAGAGGAATAGTGCAGACTGCCTCCATTCTGGGGCAGGGAGGACCTGGGTGGGTTTTTGTGGATTGGGTATTGTGTATCTGGGCCTGGAACAGAATCTCACTACTTGCAACTTCAGCTGGGAACCTGCATGGCACCCAGCTGCTCCGGGCCTGTACTTCCCTAACGGGGTCTGCAGGCTGCCCCCTCCCTGATGAGATCAGCTGTGGTTTGCCTTCCTGTGAGGAAGCCGGAGGAGCCATGGCAACCCACTCCTGCATTCTTGCCTGGAGAATCCCCATGGTCAGAGGAGCCTGGTGGGCTGCAGTCCATGGGGTTGCAAAGAGTCGGGACACGGTTGAAGCAACTTAGTGCACCCTGGCTCTGAAGTTCTCAAGCTCACTGCTGTGACGGGGGAGGAGAGCTTTCTGAGGCTGGGATGGCTTCCTGGTTACGTCGGCTGCTGTTCAGCTCCTCCCAGCCTGGTTTCCATGCACATGGATGGGGTCTCCCCTTCCCCAGAGTCTCCTCATTTCTCAGCCTGTGGAAACACTCATCAGCCACAGCTCATGTCTCAGCTCAGACATCACCTCCTCCTCCAGGGAGCCTTCCCTGGTTCTCTAAGCAGAAGCAACCATCTGTTCCTTATTCACTGTCCCTACAGCAGGCACTGCGTCTCCTGAGAGACGTCTTTTATCCTGCTCCTGCAACACTTGCGTATTTATACATCTGCCTTCCTCCCTGGACTGTGTTCCTCTGAACTGCGGCTCCAACCCTTAGCACAGGACCAAGGCAAGGTGCTGTGAGCAGCTTTGGGCAGGAAGGAGCTCCCTGCAGAAGGCACTTGTGTCTTTTCACTAACCTTAATTCAGGCACCCCCACGCTCTGCTCATCTCTACTCAGATCTTTGGATTGCACGATACTTTGTGTAATCTAGTTCTTTCTATAGATCAAAGTAGAACAAAACGAATAAGTAACTAACAGATGACCATATCTCTTCCCCAGCTTCCCCTTCAGTCATCTCACAGACAAACTCTGTGAGCAAGACAGCATCTGAAGGAGACTCACAGGAAGTCGACAGGTCTGCACAGGGGGGAAGACGGTGACCACTCTGACTCCCTGTCTCAGTGATTAACTCAGATTTCTTCTCTTTCCTCTTTAAAAGCTTTCATGGCAGTACAGAATCTTCGGAAGTGGTTTCTGGGGGACACTGAGTCCACCATCTCCCCAGATTGCCAGCATTCTGATTAAAAGCAACAACTTCCCTTTCTATCAACATTTGCCTCTCTCTTGAGTTGGATCAGTCAGACCTGGTTCAGTAACAGTGCCTGAGAGATGTTTCTGAGTGAATGAAAGCAGGCACTATCGGGGCAAAACCAGGCCTACCTAGAGAAAAGTATTTGGAAGCAAAACCACTTATGTTTTGGCCACACCTCATGGCATATGGGATCTTAGATCCCCGACTAGGGATCAAACCTATGTCCCTTGCACGGCAAGCATGGAGTCTTAACCACTGGACTGCTGGGGAAGTTCCAACAAAACCATTTTTAATACGAGATTCTTAGAGACTTGGGCCTTTAGGATTGGGGGTTGAAGGGCACAAAATATGTCACCAGACTTGGCATGAGGATCCTGGCAGGGACATCCTTTCCTTGGTTCCTCCCAGAGGTAAGAAAAGGGGCCTGGGGTCTCCCAAGGGCCGCCTGCTAACTCTCACCTGACTCCCTGACAAGGGAGTAGCCATTCTACAGGTTCTGATTCATTCCTGCCGCCCTGATTAAGACACCAGCAGAGTCTGCCAACATTTGTATCAACAGCACACCCTTTGACCAAACCAGCAGCTGACCTCAGTGTGGGAAGGGCAGGTGAGGGCCCTAAGCTTTGGACAGAGCCCAGCCGCTCCACGGTCTGGCTGTCACCTTCTGTCCTTGGCCTGTCCATGTACCGGCTCCACTTGCCAAGTGCTTTCTCAACCCTCAGCTCCCAGAAACACCTGAGGGACACAGTGTTCTCATCCACAGTACGTGGGAGAATACCGCGGGAGACATGGGAGAACTCAGCTAAACCTAGGTATGTCTGACACTTCAGGCTTTGGTCAGGCAGCCCTGGACCCGGCCTCTGTCCCCTGGACTTCACCCACGACCAGTGGCCCCAGGAACACAGATGGTAGCAGCCTCTGGCTCCAGGGAGCTCTGAGGCCGCTGGGACGTTCACGGAACCTGCTGGCCAAACCCGGCCAGTCTTCTCTCCAGCCACCCTCTGGGCTGTGACTCTTCATGGCCACTGCCTTTTCACGGCCCCTCAGGCTGGTGGCTGCTGTTCTCCCAGCCTGCGGCCCGCTGCTTTCCCTCCTCAGACACGTTCTTTAGGACCCCATTACAAATGGCTCCTCCCCCAGGAAGCCTTCTGGGTAAGCAAGCACTTCTCAGAATCTCCAGATTCCTTACAGCTGGTGGCTGGGTCGGACCCCAGAGAGCTTCAGGCTTGGGTCAGCAGGTCCCGGGTGGGATCTGAAAATGTGCATTTCTAACAAGCTTCCAGCTGTGCAGCTGCTCTGGGACTTCACCTCAAGAACGACTGCTTTGGGGCTTCCCAGCTGGTGGTTAAGAATCTGCCTACCAAAGCAGGTACATGGGCTCAATCCTGGGTCCAGGAAAATCCCACATGCCGCAGAACAACCAATCCAGTGCACACAACCACTAAGCCTGCACAGTAGAGCACACGGGCCCCGATTCCTGAAGCCCACAGGCCTACAGCCTGTGCTCCGACAAGAGAAGTCCCCCGCTCTCCGCCACAGGGGAAGCTGTGGGCAGCAACAAAGATGCAGCACAACCAAAAATAAAAGCAAATAAACAAATCTTAAAAGAAAAAATCCAGCTTGCAATGCGAGGGACACAGGTTCAATCCCTGGTTGTGGGGCTACGATCCCATCTGTCCTGGGGCAACGAAGCCCCAGTTCTGCAAGTACTGAGCACAGGCGCCGGAATGAGACACCCCACCTGACGCAGCGAAGACCCCACGCGCCACAACCCAGACCTACGCAGCCAAGTAAGTGAATTTTTAAAAAAGAACCACTGGTTTGTGCCAATGGTTTCCAACTGGGATCGTGGGAGGCGTGCTGGGGGCCTCCGCGAGGGTGTGCGTGAAGGAGGAGACTGCTCCCTCCAGCTCTGCAGGGTGGCATGCTCCTGTGTGCTTAATATGATTGAATCCCATGTAAAGTTTTGATTGAAGAAAGGATTTAGTTACTGGGAAAAACGTTGCCCTTCACTCATCGCGATCGGACGAGCTCTTGCTTCCAGGAGGCAAGGCCGGCGTCTGGACGGGGCTTTGTTCTTACATCCTGCGCCTTCCCCAGGAATGGCTCCCCCTCCACGCAGAGGTTTAATGTGATTTTAAGTGTCACACAGACAAACACGTCTCGTTTGAGTAATCCCCTTTATACGTATATAAAAATATTTATAACTAAAATAATTTTTAAATGTTCCTAGTTGAGAATTCATTTGACTGAGGAAAAAAAAATATAAGCGTAGCGAACTAGCAGAGCTGTAATTTCACAGATGATATTACTCAGGATGAAGCTAAATTTAAAAAGTGAGCAGATTTAAAGCTGATGAAGGGAGGGCATTAAGTAATAGCCCAGCTAACATACAGGTAATGTAAAAATCAGGGTGATGGTTGGAAAGACTGAAGGTTAGGAAATACTGTCCTTTAGAACAGTTTGAAAGTCACTGAAGGAAAAGTCCTACTCTCTCCTTGCTCTGGAATTTCTTCCCCTTGAGTTCCAAGCTCATCTCCCCCTGTTTTCTTTCTTAAACTAATCAAAGATTAGGATGACATTTTTAAAAGGGCATCTCATTAAGCAGCCTCATCTCCATTGGAGCAGAGGCTCCTGCCCAGGAGCCAGCTGGCCATTCATCTTATGGTAATGAGGTGTCATCTCCCGGTGGGTCTGCCGTCCTCCCTTCCTCCAAGACCGCCTCTCTTGCCCCCACCCGCCACTCTGTGACAGCATGTGTGTGTGTGTGTGTGTGTGTGTGTTGGGGGTGGGGAGTGGGGAGAAGCAGAACCAGAGCTGCCGGCAGCTTCTGGCAGCGCTGGATGCCGGCGGGAAGGTGCTGGGGTGGGGGGCGCTCTGCCGCGGGGCCGGGAGCGTGGTCCTCACCTGTACACCGTGGTCGGCGGGGAGCTCAGGCTGTCGTAGACGAGCCTCACGTGGCCCTGGTACAGCTCCAGCGCCAGGGGGTCGTTGTCCCCCTTGTAGAGGAGGATGCCGTTGTCCTTGTCCGTGGCCACCTGGAGGGAGGCAGAGTCAGGGCCGCCCCGAGGCCCCTCCCGCTCCCCGCCTCCCAGAGCCCTGTTCCGGTGGCGTTTCCTGAGCGAACCCTGGGTCTGAATTCATGTCCTTCTTTCCTCTTCCATCTAGTCTGTATACTTCCATGACGGAGGCCTGTGCTTAGTACTCAAGCGAATGCTGATCGAGCAACTCCAAATACTTACGGGGTATTCAATATGTGTGGCTATGTGTTTATGTTGTGTGTGTGTGTAAGTGAACACATATATAAAAATGCCAGGAACCATAAGCTCTGATCTAGCCTCTTGGGGCCTTCATCTCTTTGTATATAGTAATAATTAGAAACAAAAGACTAACCACCACTATGTAATTCAGTGTTGACTATGAACTCAGAAATTTTTTAAAACACCAGTGTCTGGGCTTCACCCCAAACCAATTACATACAAATCGNCATAAGCTCTGATCTAGCCTCTTGGGGCCTTCATCTCTTTGTATATAGTAATAATTAGAAACAAAAGACTAACCACCACTATGTAATTCAGTGTTGACTATGAACTCAGAAATTTTTTAAAACACCAGTGTCTGGGCTTCACCCCAAACCAATTACATACAAATCGTTAGAGGTGAGACCCAGGCAAAGATAAGGTGCTCCGAGAGATTCCAGTGTGTTGCCAAGGCTGAGAAGCACTGGTTTCAGAAGCTGCTGCTCAGAAGACATGCTCGCCAGGCACGGGGCTGCAAGGCTGGGCTCGCTGACCAGCCTGTTGGTGCCCACCACTGGGCACAGGAGCAGCGGAAAGAGGGGGTGTGGAGCAGGCAGTCGGATAGAGCACTGGGGTGTCTGGGACCCGGGGCCCGGTTAGTTGGGACATAACACTGGGTCTCTGGGTGGGCAGGACTAAGGGAGGAAGACAGGAGGGCAGTGAAGTGACCCGGGACAAGGGGTGATGGCAACTGGAGATTCTTTCTTGTGCGTGCCAGTAGTCTACCCCCATCTCAGAGGCCTGCTTATGGACGGGGGGCTCCACAAGGTGAGGCCATGTGAACATTGGTGCATCTCTGCAGCCCCAGTCTCTAGAATGGTACCTAGCAGGTATAGATGGCCAGTGGATCTTTGTTGAATGAACATTTTTCTCCACAAGTTTAAACCCAGGCTAGTGTAGCCACAGCCAGAAGGAAGTGGATGCCACATGGCAGGGCTGCTACCTAGCCTGCACCCTCTAGCCGTGCCTCTGGGTCACCCACTGCTCACCAACCCTGCTCTATAGGCAGGTCCTGCTCTATGTCATGTGCGTGCATGCTCAGTCATGCAGTTGTGTCCGACTCTCTGTGACCCTGTGGACTGTAGCCCGCCAGGCTCCTCTGTCCATTGGATTCTCCAGGCAAGAATACTGGAGTGGGTTATCATGCCCTCTCTTCCCCAAGGGATCGTCCCAACCCAGGGATCAAACCCATGTCTCTTACATTTCCTGCATTGGCAGGTGAGTTCTCTAGCATGAGTGCCATCTGGGTCTCTCTATATCATATCCCTTGCCTTCCCCTCTGCCCCCAACAGCACTGAGGTCATCGGGAAATGTGGTTTGGGAGAACTACTCAGATCCACAGGTAAGGAGCCTGACAGAAGTTAGTTGGAAAAGAATCTGGTTCACACTAAACAGTTTCCTGCTCCCTGAAAGGTGCCCTCCTCCCTCCTGCCTCTGGGTCTTTGCACACGCTGATCTCCCAGGCTCGAATGCACCCCCTCTTCACTCTGCATTATCAGCCCTTTCACCCTCTGCAGGCAAACTCCTACTCATCCTTCAGGCCTCAGCTTAGTTATCACTGCCTCTGGGGAACCTTCCCTGATTCTTCCAAGCAGGCTGGGATTACAGCCCCACCTGCATGCTCCCACATCACCAAGGGTTGTCATTGACCATTTCCTTGCTCTCCTGTCCTGGGCAACGGGCTTGGCTGTCTTGTCCCCCACTGAATCCCCATTGCCTGCTTGGCAGGTAGTAGTTGAATGACTGTTCCCTCGAGGAGTCAGGAGCTGTCTGTAGAAGCCTCTGCATGGACTTGGCCCAGGCCCCCCACCCCAGCTGTTTGCAGAACAGTCAGAGCTTGGGGGCACGTCTCGGTCCTTCCAAGGGCTGAGTTGGGGGGAGGTGCACCTGCAGAGAGATGTTGGCCTGGGGCCGGACCTTGGCTGAGGCCAGTTCCACGTAGGAGTCCTTGCCCACGAAGTTGACGGTGATGAGCTTCTCGCAGCGTGGGCCGGCGAAGCCCGGGGGGCAGCGGCAGGTGGGCTCCTGCCGCACCACAATGCACTGGGCCCCGTTCTGGCACTCGTACTGGTCACAGGGGCTGGTCTGCAGCAGGACCATGGGCGGGGGCTGCTCACAGTGCAGCCCGCTGGGCAGGCAGAGAGGACGATTGGAGAGAGGACGGGGGAGGTGAGAGGAGACAACAGGTCATTTAGGCCAAAGGGCTGCCTGGGCAGAGGGTGGCATGAAAGGGAACGGGGACTGGTTCCAGCCCCGCCAGTGACCAGGGGAAGGCTGGTTCCTTCTCTAAGCCACAGATTTCCCACTTTTAAAATAATGTGGTTGGACTAGAGTGCAGGTCCTCAATTTCTGTGTCATCAGAATCACCTGCGATACATTTGTTAAAGGTGCAGATTCTCTTCTAGCCATGAATGAGCATGGGATGTACAGACTACGGAACACTATTCAGCCTGGAAAAGGAAGGGCATTCTGACATACGTGACAATACGGATGGACCTTGAGATGGCACTGAGCCAAAGGAGCGGCTACAGGACAAACACTGATTCCATTCATATGAGGCACTCAGGGAGGTTAGACTCACGGAAACAGAAAGTAGAGTGTGGTGACTGCTGGGGCTAGCGAAGGGGGCATGCGGAGGCACAGTTTCAGTTTGTGAAATAAAAAGATTTCTGGCGACGGATGGCGGAGATAGTTGCACAACAATATGAATGTACTTACTGTACATTTAAAAATGCTTAAGATGGCAAATTTTGTGTTATGTGCATTTTGCCACAATTAGAAACATTTTCTTAAAAGTGTGGGTTTCCAGCTCCTTCTCCCCACCCCTGATTCTAATTTCATAGCCCTGAGACATATTTTCATAAGCCTCGCATGCACAGGGCCTCTGTGAGTCTTTGGAACCAGCCGCCTTGAGAACTCCTGGCTCCTTCCAGCTCAGGGCTCATCTGCACGTTTGGATCTATGCTTCTGTGACACCTGCCGTGTGTAAAGAACACGTCCTCCAGGCTGAGCCCCATGACTGTGGTTCCTGCCCCCACCCGGGACCCCTGTGTCCTGCCCTTCCGGTCAGCGAGGGGCCTGGGGCTGACACCCATACACTCCACCACATGCCCCCCGACAGCTGACCGCCTGGCCAGTGCCTCCGGTCTCTTCTCTCCAGGCTTCAGCGACTCCCCCAAATCCTCCCATCCACCTCCATTTTCCTGCCACTAGGGAATCCATAATGGTTTATTCTCCAGCCTAGAAAGAAGATCCTNGTCAAACCTTGTCAGGAGCTGGCTGAGGGGCTCATGTTGTAGTGAGACAGGTTTTGGCTTGGGTCTACCACTGTCTACATAGAACTAATATTCAGCCTGGCCCTCCTTCCTGCACCTTTCACAGAGCACCTTGCTGAGGGAGGTCTCTCAGCACCCAGTGAGGCAGGGTCTGTCCCCCTCCAGTATCAGGAGGAGACCTGGGCTCTGGGAGAGCGGACTTGACTTCCCCGAGGCCCCCACAGTGTAACGATATTTCGTTTACGCTTGTGTGTGTCAGATGCTGTTTCCGTGGATCTGCTACTCGTTGCCTCTCTGTGTTTCAGTTTCTCCATCCTTAAATGTGGCTGACGATCAATACCTTCACCTCTCAATGGTGGTTTAAGAAACTAAGCGATCCACTCTGTGCAGGTCCACACTGAATAAACAGGGTGAAATGTAGAAGGAGCTGATGAGGATGGTGAAGAAATGATGCTATTGGCACTTCCTTTGATTCTTCTCTATTGTTTATTCATTTTTTTCCCCCAGAGATTCAGGCTGATATGAAATGTTACTCAGTCATAAAAAGGAATGAAATTGGGTCATTTGGAGAGATGTGAATGGACCTAGAGTCTGTCATAAACAGTGAAGTAGAAGGAGAAAAACAAATATTACATATTAATGTGTATATGTGGAATCTAGGAAAAGGGTGAAGATGAACTTATTTGAATCTAGAAAAAGGGCAAGAATAAAGACTCAGATATAGAGAACAGACATGTGGATACAGCGGGGAATAGGATGAATTGGAGAATAGCTCTGACATATATACTTCACCATGTGTAAAACAGATGCTAGTGGGAAGCTTCTGTACCGCACAGGGAGCTCAGCTTGGTACTCGGTGACGACTCTGTGATGACTCAGATGGGCGGGATTGGGTGGGGTGGGAGGGAGGCTCAAGACGGAGGAGATGTATGTATACCTATAGTTGTTGTAAAGCAGAAACTAACACAACATTGTAAAGCATTTATACTCAAAAAAAGAAAAGAAAAAACAACATTAAGCTGAGGGAAAAAAAACAGAGACAAGGGTGGATCCCTTTGCCTTCGATAGATGCCTCTTGGTCTCCAGGGGGGAGTATGGAGCTATGGTTCAACCCAGGCCTTACAGGCCTGCCCGCCTCTCCCAGAGCAGCGCAATGTTGGCAGCTCCATTGTGTCCCTGCAGACCCAGGTTTCAACCTGGCCAGAGGCGGCTGCTATGGGCAGCCTCCCCGAATGTGGGCCAGAAACATGCGTCTCTGGGCTCCTCTGTCTCAGGTGACAATGTGTCAAAGTCCCAGCAAGAAACAGACCACGGGTGCCACCTTACTCACAGGGGCTCAAGCACACACACAGGCACATATGAACACAGATCCTTCCTAGCTCCTCTCCTTCCTGCCGGGCCTTGAGCCTGCACACCTCTCTGGGGTCCCTGGCTGGATTTTACCGGCAGAGTACGAAAAACAAACGCAGCCTGTGCAAGTCAGAGGAGGAAGCTGGTACAGGCAGGGGAAGGTGTGCAACGGGTGGTGAGGTAGGAAGGGAGACCTTGGAACACTTATGTGATGAAGGAGCCTGACTGGGGAAGCATCAGGACAAAGGATGGTCCTCCCTCCCCACTCTCCTTGCTCCATCCCTCTAGGATGGAGAGAAGTGGGCTGGAATCGCAAGTAGGTCCTGGTGCTGCCAGGGTTGACAGAACACGCTGTGTGCTGTGGATTCTTGGTAAGGTATGATACTCAGGGTGCCAGAGTGTCCCTGGAGGCGGGCAAGTTCTAGAACTTGAGAATGTACTGGGCCTGCATTCCGAAGCTATAGAATCTCTAAGATCTGACCTATGCACCTTTACTTATGTGATGGATAAATTTGAAACACATGACCTACTGCTGCACCAGCAAGTGCAAACTCACAGCTGTGCCCCCACCTCATCGTAATCTTTGAAAGAGACATCCTGGGGATGCCTTTGTGGGAGTGCATGCTGCATACTGCAGGCCAGGCCTCTGTGAGGGTTAAACCTGGCCCCGGTAGGAATATGGGCCTGTGTCTCCTGAATTCTAAGTACCTGCAGAGTAACTCAAGCTGTATGAGCTTCTCTGAGGCAACAATAGCTACTCACCACTTACAGGGGCAAACCCAGCCTGGTAGGCATGGAGTTCAAGGCTGCTGAAGTCTTCAGGAGGAACGAGGGAAGCCATGCTCCCTTGCAGATGAAGCAGTAGGGGTCTGGAGGCAGATGTGTTTACGGCCTTCTTTTCTTTTCAATGCTATAGCCCTCTCTACACCTGTGCTTCCTAAACAAAACCCCCAGGAGTCTTGTAAAAGTACAGCTTCTGATTCAGGGAATCTGGGTGGGGCCTGGGAATGAGCATTCCCAGTAAGCTCCCATGGGATGCTGACATTGCTGGTTCATGGACCTTATCTCTAGTGGGAAGAATCCCTACAACATTTCTTTATCAGCTAAAGACAAGCAACTTGTGGTATACCCCGCATTCCCTGTTGTTTTCAAATGTTTTTCTTTTATCTTTTTTTCTAAAGCATAAGGTTTATGCCATTTTGATACGCATTTAACCTACTGATTCTGGACAAAGAGGAATAACCAAGTGACATCCTTGGTTTCAGGACAGCAGAAATGTCCGGACTGAGACAAGGAATCAGTCAGATCTGTGTCAGCCCTCACCCCTTCCGGCAGCACGCGCCAGATGCTTGCTCCACCTCACTGAGCTTCAGCCCACGCAGGAGGTGGTGATAGTGTCTACGTCCAGGGTGCCGAGTGTCACACGTGACGACGCAGAGCCTGACCCAGAGGAGCCGGCCCCGCCAGCTCTCTCTGGCCCTGTGACCTTCAGCGTGCACTGGCAGTTACTTTCAGGCCTTCCATGCTCACGTCACAGATACTGAGACAGTCCTATCTGCTCTGTTGAGCTGAGGCCTCACTAGAACAGCATACAAGGAACTGCCCAAGGATAAACACCTTCAGACCTGGGCAAAGGCTGCAGGGCTATGGTCTCTTTTGTTAATGTCCCTGGGGCTCGCCTGGGGATGTGAGTCATTATGGTGCTGGTCGGGGGTGGGGGGGCGTTGTGGGATAAAGTGAAAAATGTTGCACTGGGAGAAGGGGCTTTTGATTTAAACGCATCTTAATTAAAAAAAAAAAAGAAACATTATTGAGTTGGCCTGTAGACTTCCTCAAGATTCTAAGAGACACTGTGCATAAATACATTATCTAAAGATTTTGAAAGCTAGACAAATTTCTTTCTGTTTTGTCCTTGAACTCAAGGAGGTCTTGGTTATAGCAGAGTTTCCAGGGACAGGAGTAGAGAATCAAGATCTGTGGTCCTAACTCCCTAGCACCCCAACCCCAGCCCAGCACCCTGGACCACTTCTGACAGTCTCCACGCTCACTGTGCTTATCCAAGCCAGCATCTTCTGAGCCTCCTGCCCCCTGGCCGGGAACACCACTGATCTCCTTCCATCCACGGATATTACACCCAGTCTTCCTAGCTCAGTGACCACCACCACCCCTTCCTAGGCATACCCAAAGCACTCTGCCTGTCAGTCCAGCCGCCGCAGCTTTGGGTTCGAGTCTGTGCTTTAAGCCTCTCCTCCCAGCCCATTGCTCGCCCTTCAGTTAAAGAGCGGCCCTGGTCTGAAGTCCGATCCTGGAGTGGGAGAAGCAGGGGCCGGCGGCAGAGGCATCTCTCGCTCTTCCTCACGCTGAGGTGACTGGTTACCCGAGAGCCCAGCTGGCGCATCTCCGAGGGGATGGAGTCGGCAACGCAGACCTGAAGGACTTCAGCTTCCTCTGCTCCCTCTGAGGCCAGAGCCCTGCACTCCTCTTACATTTGCCCTGGTCACTAGGCTTCATGTATCCAGACAGAAAAGGAAAACACAGAAGACCTGCTCATGGCCCTGTCACCCTACCTTACCATGGGCTCTGCCCCGCCTGCAGGCCCCTGCTTCTCTCAGCCCATCCCAGTGCCACCCATCCTTCGGTGGTCACCTCAAGTCTCACCTCCTAGGGTAGAGGGCTTCCCTCTCTACTCCAGAAGGTTCTTCCCCCCTCCTCAGAATGCCAGCAGCACCCAGGACCTGAACCTAGGGCCCCAGGAATTCCTTCTTTTCTAAAGCTTTGTGTGGTGCCAAATTTCCCTCCCCCAGGTCCATGGCAAGAGCCTCAGATAGAGGAAATAAGAAACCTCCGATACTACCTAGCATCCTCACCACAATGAGGATTTGGGGGCTGCGGTGGGTTGGCTGGGGGACAACAACCTGAACCCATCGTTCTTACATTCTAGGATTCTAAGAGTTTACAAGTTCAAGTTGCGGATTCAGTTAAAGAGCGGCCCTGGTCTGAAGTCCGATCCTGGAGTGGGAGAAGCAGGGGCCGGCGGCAGAGGCATCTCTCGCTCTTCCTCACGCTGAGGTGACTGGTTACCCGAGAGCCCAGCTGGCGCATCTCCGAGGGGATGGAGTCGGCAACGCAGACCTGAAGGACTTCAGCTTCCTCTGCTCCCTCTGAGGCCAGAGCCCTGCACTCCTCTTACATTTGCCCTGGTCACTAGGCTTCATGTATCCAGATAGAAAAGGAAAACACAGAAGACCTGCTCATGGCCCTGTCACCCTACCTTACCATGGGCTCTGCTCCGCCTGCAGGCCCCTGCTTCTCTCAGCCCATCCCAGTGCCACCCATCCTTCGGTGGTCACCTCAAGTCTCACCTCCTAGGGTAGAGGGCTTCCCTCTCTACTCCAGAAGGTTCTTCCCCCCTCCTCAGAATGCCAGCAGCACCCAGGACCTGAACCTAGGGCCCCAGGAATTCCTTCTTTTCTAAAGCTTTGTGTGGTGCCAAATTTCCCTCCCCCAGGTCCATGGCAAGAGCCTCAGATAGAGGAAATAAGAAACCTCCGATACTACCTAGCATCCTCACCACAATGAGGATTTGGGGGCTGCGGTGGGTTGGCTGGGGGACAACAACCTGAACCCATCGTTCTTACATTCTAGGATTCTAAGAGTTTACAAGTTCAAGTTGCGGAAAATCCATGAATCTAAGAGTCCACAGTTTTAAGACCCTGTGATCTCATAACGTCTGGGGCTTTCTAAGATCATGGGTTTGCAAGAAGTCCTGAGCTTGCAGTACAGAGTCAGAGTCTCAGCACTCCCAGGTCTGAGAACTCTCTGCCACGTGGCTGAGAGCTGAACAGACTCTGAGTGATGACAGCTCCTGGGGACTTCTAGACTGGAGTCTGAGCTTGTGTCCTGAAGTGGCTGGAGATGCCGCTGGCTGACAGGCCGGCCAGAATTCTCCTTCGAGGCTCGTAAGCAGAGACACCGAGCTTCACACCCACATCCCTTATCTCTGCAGGTGGTTGTGAGGGTCACTTTGGGTGTCTTTGCTGAGGGCTTGTCTGGGGTCCCTCCCAGAGCTGGTCTGGTCTCTGTCAGATCCCCCAATCCTGAGTCTTTGGTGTCAGAGGACCCCACTTTCCCCACTCAGTGCAGAGCCTCCTGGGAAGGAGGGGGGGCAGGTGTGTGGAAAGGAGCTTTGGGGGAGAGGAGAGTGTTCTCACCAAAGGGTTCTGAGATGTCCCCCCCAATGTCAGAAGAGCCCAGGACCTGCAGGTCTCAGGATCTTCTCCAGAATAGGCAACAGCACACTTTCACGAAGGAGAGCGGAGGGAGGAGGTGGGGACAGTGCCCAGGAGTGACTCCCCAGGGGCGCCCTTTGGTCTTCAGGCTCTGGAACTGCTGTCTTCTCCTGAGGCGGCTTCTTTGTGTATCCTTAGAACAGCTTGAGTGTGCCCCCGCTCCCCTGGAGACACCGCCCCAGTGGCCATGTGGCTGGACCAGTCGGAGCCCACAGCCTGCCTCCTCCCCGCCACCACCTCCCAACACGCACAGGCACACAGGCTAGCAGCCTTGCTGGAGTCAGAGGGCAGGGTGGGCTGCATCTGGGGAGTGGCACCTGATACCCTATGGACACTGCTCCCCCTGTGGGGTGGCTCCACCATACTAGCTCTGGAAAGAAAAGATGTGGTGACAGCAACATGCTTTTCAATTCATTTCCCAGAATAATAGAAATAAAAGAGAAACAATAAATGGGGCCTACTTAACCTCAAAAGCTTTTGTACAGAAAAGGAAACAATAAACAAAACGAAAAGACAACACACAGATTGGGAGAAAATACTTGCAAATGATGTGACTGATAAGGGACTTTTCTCTAAAATTTACAGCTTATGATACTTAATAGCATCAAAACAAAACAACCTACTCAAAAAATGGGCAGAAGACCTGAACAGACACTTCTCTAAAGAGGACACATAGGCACATGTGTCCATAGGCACATGAAAAGATGCTCAACATCACTAGTTATTAGAGGAATGCAAATCAAAACTATAATGAGATATCATCTCACATCAGTCAGAATGGCTAGCATCAAAAAATCCACAAAGAATAAATGCTGGAGGTGATGTGGAGAGAAGGGAACCCTCTTGCAATGTTAGTTGGAATATAGATTGGCACAGCCACTATGGAGAACAGTATGAAGGTTCCTTAAAAAATTAAAAATAGAGCTACCAGATGAACCTGAAATCCAGCTCCTGGGCATACATCCAGAGAGCTGGCCCTGCAAGATCCAGGCAGCCCAGTTTCACCGCAGCACCATTTACAACAGCCGAGACATGGAGACAGCCTGCAAGCCCACCGACAGAGGACTGGATCAAGAAGGTGTGTTTCATATTTACCATGGAATATTATACAGCCATTAAAAAGAGTGACATAAGGCCATTTGCAGCAACATGGATGGAACTAGAGACTGTTATACTGAGTGAAGTAAGTCAGACAGAGGAGGAGAAATATCATATGTCATCCATTATAGGTAGAATCTAAAAAGAAATGATACAAATGAACTCATAAAACAGACAGAAACTCACAGACTTAGAAGACAAACTCGTGGTTGTCACGGGGAAGGGGCAGTTAAGGACTCTGGGAATATATAGGCTATATTTAAAAAGGATAACTAACAAGGAGCTGCTTAGAGCACATGGAACTCTGCTCACTGTTACGTGTCAGCCTGGAAGGGAGGGGAGTTTGGGGGAGAGTGGATACATGTGCATGTACGACTGAGTCCCTTTACTGTTCACCAGAAACTATCACAATATTGTCATTTAGCTGCTTTTGGTGTTAAAATAAAAAAATACATAAAACTCAAGTGTTCTAACAGGAAAAAGAAAACGAAAACATGTGCTGAGAGAGAGGGAGGGAGGGAAGAGAAGGAAGATTAGGGAGGGGTCAGGGAAAGGGGCTCCCTCTCTCTCAAGAGAGGAGAGAACAGGGAGGGCAGACACAGAGACTCAAAGAAAGACGCCGACAAAGAGACAGTGAATTAGACCGTGACTAGTCAGAGGTATAGAAAAGCACACGCTAGCAAACAGGTAGTAGAAACAGAGAGAGTGGGGGAGAAAAAAAGGAAGGAACCCCAGAGCTTCTGCCTTAAACCCAGGCTATTGGAGCCAAATCCTTGGGACCTGGTGTCAGGCATGAATGAGCCTCACCTGAATTCCCTGTCCAGGGAGATGCACTTGGCCTCATGCTGACAGAGGTTCATCCCCGGCACACAGTGGTCAATCACCTCGTCGCACAGCTCACCTGGTGGGGCGGGTAGAGAGCCCAGGTGTCAGGGAGGATACAGGGGGATCCCCCAGCTAGAAGGTCAGGTTCATCCAGTCCCTGGTCAAGAGGCCATGGTGTCAGGAGCCTGCCATTTATCCTCTAGGCATCTCCTTTCTTCTGTACCTCTGTCTCAGTTTCCCTGGCAGTGGCCACAAGAAGACCCCAGGACCTCTCTTGGGCACTGTTAGAGCTTCACCATTTGGCTGTTTCACTTGATTATCCAGGGGCTGCAGCAGCTAAAACCACCCCTGACTCGGTGAAAGTCACTTGTGACTTTCACTTGTGACAAGTGAGTGAAAGACATTCACTTGTGTCTGATTCTTTGCAATCCATGGAATTCTCCAGGCCAGAATACTGGAGTGGGTAGCTGTTCCCTTCTCCAGAGGATCTTCCCAACTCAGGGGCTGAATCCAGGTCTCCCGCACGGCAGGCAGATTCTTTACTGCCTGAGCCACCCCGGAAGCCCACCCCTGACTTTGGGCTGTGCTTATTTGTTTTTCATTCCACACTCATTTATGGACCACCTGCTGTGTGGCAGCACTCTGCCAGGGCCTAGGGACACCGCAGTGATCCAGTCCCAACCTCCCCCTTGGCGGGGGGGGGTTGTGTGTGTGTGTGTGTGTGTGTGTGTGTATGTGTGTGTTGGGTTGCCGGGGCGGATCTACAAATAATCAGGCAATTATAACACACAGCTGTCAGCGTGATGACGGGAAAACCTGGTGGAAACTCAGGGGTTTCCTGGAGGGGCAGCTAGAGCTGAGGAGTGCAGTCCACCTGTTACAGACAAGTAAGCCCCGTGGGTTTTCTCAGAGAAGAAAATATGCAAAGAATTTGAAGTTCTGGTCTCTGGCTACATCCCCTTTGAAATTCACAGGGTCAGAAAAGTGCCTAACAGGTCATAAATACCCAAAGATATAAGGCCTGCCGATAAGCCCTGGAAAACTGGCACCACCAGAAAGCAGGAATGTGGGAGGTCAGACAGGCCTGCAGCGGTCAGGTTTCTGGAAGACACCACTGATAGCTTCTTCGCATTCCACCCAGTCAGGCCATGTGGAGAGTGACGGAGAGAAACAAGCTTCCGGCCAGAGAGCTGTGGGGCGGGTGTGCCCGGGGCAGGGTGAAGGACGGTCTGAGGGTGGCTGGGGGAAAAGCGTGGCAGACAGAGCCCCAGAGTCGGCTCTCTGCTGCGTGAGGGCAAGCGGACCCCACCCTGCCTTCACTGTGTCTGCAGCCTCTCAAGACCGCGAGACCCTCTCTGGGAGGGTACCTGTGTGACTTCTAAGCCTCTTCTGCTTATTCTCCGCCAGTAACACCGAGAGAGGTATATTCTCTGTGGGACACTTGTGACATTTTCTGGCACAGACAAAACCTCGATGTCCCATTCTCAGGAACAAAGTACAGTGCGTCAGAACTTCACCCCGGTCAATGGCAGACGCAGGCAGGAAACTGCCTTCGTGAGGGTTCCCTTGGCAGCCCCCACCCCGTCCATTCTCCCACCATCAGCTCAGACCTGAACAAAGCATGAGCGAAGGCAAGCGCCTCTCGGCTGGCCTCAGACACCACTGGGCAGTCCAGGGCTCCCAAAGGAGGGGTGAACACGAACTAAACGAACAGAGAGCCGAAAGCTGGGGACCTGCTCAAAGTGCGGAGGAGTGAGTGATTTGTGGGGGTGGGAGGGGGAGGGGTGGACCAACGAAGGGAGAGGGTCTTTGGGAAGTCTTTGAGAAGCCCCTCAGGTCAGGGCATATTATGGGTTTTTTTTCTTTTTTTGGATTCAACTCTTTGTCCAGAGGGGGAAAGGAGGTGGAGTTTTTGGAAGAAGCCTAGAAAGTGGTGGGCTTCCCAGGGGGAGCAGTGGTAAAGAACATGCTGGCCAACACAGGAGACACAGAGACGCCGGTTTGATCCCTGGGTGGGGAGGATCCCTGGAGAAGGAAATGGCCACCCACTCCAGTATTCTTGCCTGGAGCATCCCATGGACAGAAGTTGGCAAGGCTACAGTCCATGGGGCCTGCAGAGTCGGACTTGTCTGAGCACACACCGTGGTCTCTTCTAACGCGTGACAAGCCCGCCCTGGGCCCCACACAACAGCCCACTCCCGGGCGCCGGGGACTCACCCGTGTAGTTTGGCGGGCACACACACACGTAGTTGTTGACCCCGTCCACACAGGTGGCATTGTTCTCGCAGTCGTTGTCCTCACAGTCGTCTGGGTTGATCTCACACCGCTGCCCCTCGAAGCCCAGAGGGCAGGAGCAGCTTTGGGGATGTGTGGGTGGGGTCAAGGGTCAGGGAGTGGGGGTAGGTTGGAGCGGCAGAGGGGAAGGTAGGGGTGGGAAATACAGTCAGTCAGGCTTCTCCGCTGGATGGAAGTCCGAGGCCATTCTTGGGGCACACAAGACCTGGCGTTCTGAGCAGGAAGACCTTTAGGAGCCTAAGAGAGCATTTCTTCTAGCCCCCCGCCTCCGGGCAGTGTTTCGTCTCTCCTGGCCCTGGGTGCTGCCTTGCCTGGGGGCAGTTCCTGCGGGCAATGCCGCCTTCACCACTCCTCAGCTGGAAGGGGCAGAGCTTTAATTCCTCCCTGTCTCTTAAGCGACCCTTGAGCTATGTTCTATGGGTAGTCACTTTTGTAGACAAAAGGAGAAACAGCAAAACAAACTCTGTACTTTTCTTTGTGACCTTCTACTCAAGGGCAGGTCATAGACTTGCCAAGAGAACGCACTGGTCATAGCAAACACCCTCTTCCAACAACACAAGAGAAGACTCTACACATGGACATCACCAGATGGTCAGCACCGAAATCAGACTGATTATGTTCTTTGCAGCCAAAGATGGATAAGCTCTATACAGTCAGCAAAAACAAGACCGGGAGCTGACTGTGGCTCAGATCATGAACTCCTTACTGCCAAATTCAGAATTAAATTGAAGAAAGTAGGGAAAACCACAAGACCATTCAGGTATGAGCTAAATCAAATCCCTTAGGATTATACACTGGAAGTGAGAAATAGATTTAAGGGACATCTGATAGACAGAGTGCCTGATGAACTATGAATGGAGGTTCGTGACATTGTATAGGAGACGCGATCAAGACCATCCCCATGGAAAAGAAATGCAAAAAAGCAAAATGGCTGTCTGAGGAGGCCTTACAAATAGCTGTGAAAAGAAGAGAAGCGAAAAGCAAAGGAGAAAAGGAATGATATTCCCATTTGAATGCAGAGTTCCAAAGAATAGCAAGGAAAGATAAGAAAACCTTTCTCAGCGATCAATGCAAAGAAATAGAGGAAAACAACAGAATGGGAAAGACTAGAGATCTCTTCAAGAAAATTAGAGATACCAAGGGAACATTT